TTTCGAGGTTTGGTATCCTACCTCGAAAAAAATCCGGTCAACTACTAGTAGATTTCGGGATCGACGCTGATTGTTATTACTGCGCATTAGGCTCGGGCTTGTAGGACGTGTAGCATGCTACTCGGTAACCTCGTCCAGCTCCAACACAAGATCCAGCCAGTACTCGTCATGGGCAGCTTCGATCACCTTACCAGGCGCAACACCGTCAGGCCAATGGGCTGTAGTGTTTATAAGTGGCGGATACACAACCTCTCCGCATTTGCCAGCCCAGTCAAAGTCGATTATCGTCAATTCCTTTTTATCTTCCTCCCACATCAAGTTTGATACACGTAAATCGCCATGCACAAAATTCTTTGCCCGAAGAAGCTCTCGAATCTGGTTTATCTTGGGCTCCAAGAGCTGCCTGGCCAAGCCCCTCTCTTGAAGGACATTCACCAAAAGAGCACTGTTACTTTTCTCCATGACGATGAATATCCACCCGCTAACCAGAGTTTCGCAGTGCAAAAGCGCCGGAGCAACACCAGCCTTTGCACAGTACTCGTGCACCTCCTTGCCATACGTGCGAGAAAACTTGACGATAACCTCGACACCAGATTCCGTCTTTGCTTCGAACGTGCACTTGACTATACGCTTCGTATATGTGAACTTTGTGACAACACCATCTTTTTCGTATGATCTCTTGAACGGAAATTGAAGTTGATCCATTGGTGGCTTAAGTGATTCGGAGTTGCTGATGGAAAGTGTGCGAAGTTCTCTCACAGCAGTCTTGAGGGAAGCACACAGGCGAGCAAGGCCCAAAAGCAGGTCATCGTTGTCGGAGAAAACCAGCGGGAAACTCACCGACAGTGGATCACACACCAACTTGTCTTCGCCGACATTCACGATACCCGACACATTGAGTAATGGCCCGGAGAAGTCCAAAAGAAAGGAGGGAATTTGACAGTCCACAGGGTCTGGAAGAGCGTGGATATAACACCCAATGTTGTGCATCGTTGAATCTCTCTCACCGTTCTCTCTATGAAATTTCACGCTCAACAGGAGCTTGGATTCACACGAGTAAGTTCCATCCGATTTCGCTTCCCCAAGGATTTTTTTTTTTGGTCGAATCGGGGTGTCCGACAAGCCTTCAAACAGATACTCATTGAGCAGCGCAAGAGCCGTGACAGCAAACTCTTCCTCGCTGGAGAATGGGGACGACAATGTGTTGCTCAGCTCCAACGCGAACGGCACATCCGAAGAATCAAGCTCAATCGACTTGCAGTTGGCATCAAACTGTGCAAACACTTCGTTTAGCAGCATGGTTGGAGTCACAGTTGGGCCTTCTTCTAAATTGATTCGATGGCACTCGGTTTGTTTCTCATCTCTTTTCGGGGTGATGGTCATCCCACTGAAGGCGTTGCCATACAGCGTATTGCAGCTCCACGTCACGAAGGAAAACATATCTTTCAGATCGCTGAGCTTCAGCCGCTTCGGTGGGGACGGTTCGACGCTGCGGGAAAATCTCATCAGCATGGTGCTTCGATGGTGAATTGGAAAGTAAGATGTTGCTCATCTGCGTTAGTTCCGAGATTTACAAGATATTTCTTGACCGGAGTAGACCGCAGTTAGAAAAATCTTGACTGGAGTAGTCTACGACAGTAGTAAAAAAAAAACTACTACTTCGAAGTACAAGTAGTTGCGTCAGTCGATGTAGCAAAATGTCAACACGCAAGGCAATATTGTATTAGAAAGCATTCATTTCCTGCATGCGCTTGCTCTCTAGAACCTCCTCGTCCTTGATAATTGACTCGCCATTGGTTCTTACCACGCGCGCGAGCTGCCAAATACATATCGCTTAGCTGTAGAGATCTTCCTCGTCTTCGTCAGCTGCAGCATCAGCGGCACCACCGGGCACACCAGCATTGACGTTGCGGCCAGGGAACGAAAAGTTAGCCAGCGAAGTTCCGCCCGCAGTCACGTGCGAACGCGCCTGCTGCAACGTCTGTGCGAAAGTCGAGTATTGAGCCAGGTCACGGTCGCTGACCGAGCGGCGCGCGTTGCGCACGGCCTCCTCGAAGTGGCGCGGCGTAATCTCGGGCACCGGGTCCTCCTCCTCGATATCTTCCATCTCGTCACCAGCCTCAGCACGAAGACGGTCGCGCTCCATGTCACGGGCAATACTCTCACGAATCGCCAGCTTGGCTGCACGCTGGCAGATCTCTGTAAGATCAGCGCCAGAGAACTTGTCCGTCTGCTGAGCCAAGAAGTTCAGGTCTACCTCCTTGGACACAGGACTCTTACGCAACACCGATCGCAGAATGCTCAGACGCGACTCAAAGTCTGGCATGGGGATGAAGATAAGCTGATCCAGACGGCCAGGACGCATGAGAGCAGGGTCGATGATGTCGGGACGGTTCGTCGCACCAATGATGAACACGTTTTTCTTGGCACCCATACCGTCCATCTCCGTTAGAAGCTGGTTCATAACACGGTCACCAGCGCCTCCAGCATCGCCCGAACTGCTGCCACGCTGCTGTGCAATAGAGTCCAGCTCATCAAAGAACAACACACATGGAGCAGCACCGCGAGCCTTGTCGAACACCTCACGGACGTTGGCTTCGGACTCACCGAACCACATGGTCAGAAGCTCCGGACCCTTAATGGAGATGAAGTTGGCCTGGCACTCGTTAGCCACAGCCTTGGCCAGCAGCGTCTTACCGCATCCAGGCGGACCATAGAAGAGAACACCCTTGGACGGACTGAGTCCGTACTTCTCGAATTTCTCCGGGTGCTCCACAGGGTATTGAACCAACTCGAGCAGCTCGCGCTTGACGCTCTCCAGTCCACCAATGTCCTTCCACGTGACCGTGGGCACCTCCACCGTCGTCTCACGCAGCGACGACGGGTTAGACACACCCAGAGCGTACTTGAAGTGAGCCTGAGTAACAGCCATAGCATCCAGGATCTCGGCGTCAATAGACTCGTCTTCAATATCGATCACATCCATCTTCTCACGGATACACTGCAGCGCCGCCTCCGTGCACAGAGCAGCCATATCGGCACCCACAAAGCCCTGCGTGTCACGAGCAATCAGCTCCGGGTCCACATCGTCGTCCAGCTTCATGTTGCGTGTGTGAATACGGAAGATCTCGAGTCGTCCATTCTCATCCGGGACGCCAATGTCAATCTCACGGTCGAAACGTCCAAAGCGACGCAGAGCAGGGTCCATACTGTTCGGACGGTTAGTAGCACCAATCACCACAACACTGGCGCGTTGCTTCAGTCCGTCCATGAGCGTCAGAAGCTGCGAGACAATACGACGTTCCACTTCTCCATTGGTTTTCTCACGCTTCGGGGCGATCGAGTCGATCTCATCAATGAAAATAATAGCTGGCGCGTTCTTCTCAGCTTCTTCAAAGGCTTTACGCAGGTTACTCTCAGACTCTCCAGCCATCTTCGACATGATCTCCGGGCCGTTGATCAGGAAGAAGAAAGCGCCAGTCTCATTGGCCACAGCACGAGCGATCAAAGTCTTACCAGATCCAGGAGGGCCATACAACAGCACGCCACGCGGAGGCTTGACACCCAGTGTTTTAAACAACGTCGGGTGACGCAGAGGAAGCTCGATCATCTCACGGATCTGAGCCATTTGACGCCGACAGCCGCCGATATCGTCGTATCCGACCTCGTCCATCTTCTCCTCGTCCTCACGGCGCACAGGTTCGCCCTCGCAGTGGATAATAGTGTCAGGGGCCACGATACAGTATGGAGCAGGCTCAGTCTCCACGACCTTGAACTCCACAGGATGCATGGCTTGACGCACGAGGAAGAGATCGCCCTTCTTTACGGGACGGTAGGCCTCTACGAAGTAGGGCTTAAGGTACACGTCGAACAGGTTGCCGGAGACGCCCTCGATCGTGTCGTCAATAGGAAGAACATGGATGCGCTTGCCGTAGGGCACGTCACCGCACGTGTGGATGCCCACGACGTCGCCCAGCCGCACACGCAGGTTCTTACGCACCACCTTGTTCATACGGACGTTGTTGTCGTCCACTGTCTCGTCCTGTAGCACAACGCAGACCGTGTCGTGACCCTTCTTGCCCTTGATGAGCACCGTGTCGCCTCGGAAGAGCTGCAGCTCCTCCATCTTGGCCATGCTCAGTGCGATCACCGAGTTGTCGTCGTTCGTGGCCTCGTCCACCACCAGACGGTTGGGCGACCGCTTGCGGTCCATGATGCCGGCCTTAAACTCTTCCTTCCTACACACGAGAAAGTGAGAAACACGTCTACAACCCGCTATAAAGCAATGTGACGTACTTGTCACCCATGTTTGAAGCTCTTTCAGATGGTCGCTTGGGTACTGATCCAAAGCAAACGCAGCTCTGCAGGTATAGAGATTAAATACGTGAGTTTCCAGTATAAATATCCACCGTAAACGACTGTAGGCCCCCAGGATCTTGTTATCTTCCATCGCTTCTAGAGATCGTCATACGCTCAGAAGGGTATCACTGCGACCGGAATGAAGCGTAGAAGACGACAGGCATATCTAGGGGCCGATGTATTGAACTGCAATTACGTAGTAGCGAACAGAAGACACGCACCTCAAGGCTCGCGCTTGTGACTGTTTGGAAATGGGAAGAAATTCCCCCCTCGGAAGATACCCGTAAACTTATGTGGTGCACACAAAATTTCCTACTCGAGAATGTTCTGATGACGTGTCTTCAAAGTGTAACATTCATTCTGCGTGCATGTTGTTGATGAAGTTCATCATGAACACAAAGTTTATTAGCTCAAAAGAATAACATGCATGCTTCATTCCCAAGGTGTGACCGAATGGCGAGATTGGTCGTTCTTAGTCGCGGTGGTTGCTGCGGGGCTTACTGCCGCCGTTATTCTTCTTGAGCAGCGCAACGAGGATGCGCACGAAAATGGACATTAGGTCTGCAACATTAAAGAAAAAAGGTTAGCACTCCCATGTCCAAAACAACGCAAACCCTTTACAAAAAATAATTGTCCGTACCCATGAACAGGGAGAGCGTGTGCTTGAGCACGTCCTTGTCGCCCATGCTGGCCTGCTCGATGATCATCTGCGTGTCGAACACCACGTAACCGCAGAACATGAAGAGTCCACCGTACTACAAACACAACAGCATGGCACCAGTTAATTAACACCGTTTTAGTCATTTCATCGGCTTCTGCTGCTCGTACCAGGTTCAAGTTAAACAGGAACGACGAGTACTTGAAGATACTAAACACGCTCGTGAGGAACAACACAGACAGTGCCGAGCTCAAAATGCCGCCCAGATACAAGTAGGAGCGGCGAGTAGCTACAGTATCAAAAAATGACAAATTAGACTCCATATCACCATTTAAGCTCTTAATCCCGCAATTCCACCCACCGATCAATGCACTTCCAGTGAAGCACATGAATACCAGCGTCGTCAAAAGTCTGCGATAACCGTCACATCAAGTTAGCGCCTATACTTTGCATCCAGCTATTTATTAAATAGCCTTACAGGGCCGAGACGAGGATGCTGGGGTCCACTTGGATCGCCACAGCGACGAGTGTGGACACGGTGAGGCCCATGGCTGCTGAGATCATCATGAGGATACCGAAGCGCCTGTTGTAGTTCTGTACAGGCTCCATGTATAGCCAGATGGAGCCCACCGTCGACACGAGCGACGAGCCCATGAACGCGAAGCGCTCGGGGCCAAAAGCCAGAGTGATGGCCGCGCTGAGCATCGCCGACAGCACGCAGGCCGCCAGCGTCGCGTACACACGGACCAGATGTTGCTGCACGTCCTCCGTGATGCCGCTAGTCTTCATCATCGTCGCCATGTTCCACTGCGGCGACGTGCGCGCTCCGAACATGTTCATACTTTGGTCTCCTCTTTCTTTTGCTTGTCCTTTCTCGAAATAATGTACTGCTGGCTCGAAGAATTAAAACACCCCTTGATGAGGTTGGATTGATTATAAAACAACCTTTGATGAGTGCGGACTTTTCAGAGTGAAGGCTCAAATCACACAAATAAGAATTGGATTTTATCCAAATAACCCGCTTCAACCATGGTTTTCAAAGTTCAATAACACGCAACATGGAGTTTTTCCTAGGAACTATTTTTCCTAGGAACTACTATTGTTTTATTATATTGCACAGCTTCGTTCGCGCCTACTTGTGTCGCGACTTGGGGCCTGCAGTCACGACAGCGCACCGCTTTTCATTCAGTACGCGTGGAACGAAATTATCAACGTTGATGAAGCACTCCATGATAGCCCCTACCTGAGGCATCGGCATACACGGCGGAGGCGTCTGCGTATGCAGCGGAGGCACCCACGATCTTTTTGTTTCGCGCAGACGAAAATCCCTTCTTCAGCGACACGTTGGCCACGTTCTTGCGGATCTTGACGTCCTGATGGTATGTAGATCGGTTCGTGCTTCCTCCATTCGAGTGCCCACCTTTCGACGCCTTGGATATGCCTCCCGAATACATTGATCCTCCTCCTAGACTGCTTTCGCTGGTCTTGTTGTTGACGCTCTTACTACTAAAGGAATATTTTCTGGTCTTGACATGGGTGATGCCGCCCATTCCTCTACCACCCACGGCGTGGTTGATTGGCGGTAGTTCGTCTTCGCTGGCGTCGTGCCCGCCATAGTCTTTTGTGTCAGTCGTTGTCTGTAAACCATGCGATCTACACAAAACAAGCATGAAATTAGCTCGGTTTATCCTCAGCAAGCATGCAAGCAAACAACAACGTACCCATTTTGAATTGACGGTAGCGGTGTTTTGTCGTCTGAATTGTCGTTACCCTTGCGCTGCTTGGAGGCTATTGAAAGTCCCACCGAAGGGTGTTGTTGAGGTTGAATAACGTGCTGTGCTTGTTGCTGCTGGTGTGAGCGTAAAGAAGCCTCTTCAAGATCGCGGATTTCCCGAAAGTACTCATGCCGCAACGCTTCTCTTGCGTTCATGCGCTTACTCGGGTCGTATGCCAGCATTCTATTCATGAGATCGATAGCCGCAGGAGATGCGTGAGGGATAAGCTTGGCAATATTGGTCCCTTCCTCTTTGGGAAAGTTAAAGTCAATATGAGCAGCCCCCTTGCGCTTGAAGATATCGAGAACTTCCGACGATGGAGTGCCCAAGATCTTGTGTATACGGTGGATTTGATCGAGCTCATTTGAGCCTGGGAAGAGTGGGTAGAGCGATGTGATCTCGAAGAACACGCAGCCGACACCCCACATATCCATTTCAGGACCATAGTATCCGTCTGTGAGCAAGCACTCGGGTGCACGATACCACCGCGTGGAGATGTATTCGGTGTACGGTTGCTTCGAGTAAATTCCGCGACAAGACCCAAAGTCGGCCAGCTTGAGCTTGGTGCTGTCCTCTACCAAAATGTTTTCAGGTTTGATGTCACGGTGGAAAATACCTTTGTTGTGCATATGATCGAGAGATTTTACGAGTTGGTACATGAGCGATTGTACGAGATCGGGCTTGAGGTAATGTCGTCTGCCGCGAATCATTTCGTACAGATTGGCGTCCATCAGCTCGAAGACCAGCGCCAGTCGACCCGAGGGCTGGTCGTACAGTACTTCCTCCAGCTTGACGATGTGCTGATGCGGCGACAACCTCCGCAGGGCCTGGATCTCGCGCAAGTTATTCACTTGGTCAATGCTCTCGAAGTGGTTCTTCATGCATTTAATCGCATGGAACTTGTTGTCTTTGACATTCTGGGCCTTGAGCACCTCGGAGAACGTACCCTCTCCTTTCTTGGCCACTAAGCGGTACTTCCGCATAGCTGTCTACTGGCCGTCGTGTTGCTGCGCCAAACCTTTATAAGAGCCGCCAGTGTAGATGACGTTCACGCGAATCTCTTGCAGCGAAAGAATAGCGAACCAAAACTAATGCAACTCCGTTTATATTTACCGAGGGAGCGAGCGTTCCCCTATTAATACATGAAAACAACGGACGTTGCGAGATTTCATTTTTCGCCAAGTACGAGTCCTGCCAGTGTTAGGACTGGGATAGCATGATGCATGCCTAGCTCATGTGGCAAGGAACTGAAGGAAGAATCGTCAGCAAGCGGCTCAATGTTTTTGTCCAACAAAGTACTTATACTTTACTTTTTCTCAAAGAAAAGCATACGGAATATGACAATAATTTCCAAGAAACATATATTTATATATTTTGCATTGTGTAAAAGTTGGCAATTATTTTTAAAAAATGCCGATTTTCAACCCACCACTCACATCAAAACGCCACCATGTCCGAGCTCTACGAGAACAAGGTGTGCCTGTCGCCCATGGTCCGCTCGGTACGTCTCCTCCTCACTCTTTCTACCTGCACTCTGCGACTTACCAACAAACCTTAATTCAGGGCACGTTACCGCTGCGTTTATTGTCGCTGCGCTACGGCGCTGACCTCGTGTATGGCGAGGAGATCGTCGACAAGCGCATCATCTCGGCAGTTCGCGTGCCCAACGGTATGTTTGGCTGTTGCACTAATTCGTAGCATATTGCTCTAATTGTGTGACAATTGGATTGTTAACCATTTCGCAGAGGTCGTCAATGCTGTGGACTTTGTCAGCCGCAATGGTGACTCCGTAGTGTTCCGCACATGCCCAGAGGAGGCTGGAAAGGTGGTTTTCCAGATCGGAACAGCCGACGCAGTGCTGGCTCTCAAGGCAGCGGAGGCAGTGTGAGTTTTTGCCATCGATTGCGAAGTTTAACGTGAAAAACTGAGTGTCTAAATGTTTTTTCTTGTTTGTACTGCAGTGCGCGAGACGTGGCTGCTGTGGACATTAACATGGGCTGTCCCAAGCACTTTTCCGTGCAAGGAGGAATGGGTGCAGCGCTGCTACGGAAGCCTGAAGTGGCTTGCGATGTTAGTAATTGCTCTGCCGACTTTTTATTTAATTGTAAATATCTAACAATATATTTATTGGCCTTGGTGAAGATCATGAAAACACTGCGGCGAAACCTGAACATCCCGGTGTCATGCAAGATCCGACTGCTGCCAGAAATTCAAGACACGGTACAATCAACTGTATTGCATATTTTTAATGGCGTATACTAAGTATGAATGAATCCCAATCGCTAGGTTGATTTAGCTAAACGTCTCGAAGATGCTGGAGCCTACGCAGTCGGCGTGCACATGCGGCAGATCCACGAGCGTCCTCATGACAAGGCCAGTTGGGACAGATTGGCGCCCGTTGTGTCGGCGTTATCTGTTCCTGTGCTCGCGAACGGCGACGTGTTCACGCACGACGACATTGACAAACTTCGCAAGATTTCGGGCGCCTCTTCCTTCCTCGTTGCTCGCGGCGCACTTGCGAATCCGTCCATTTTCCGGAAAGAAGGTCGTTTGCCTATTGACGAAGTGGTGCGTGAGTATCTGAAGGCTGCAGCGGAGACGGACAATGTGTTCCAAAACACCAAATACAACGTGATGCGTATGATCCCGAGCTCGTTGGAGGACGCCTACGCAAGCTGTAATAACTACGGGTATGCTAAGGATGCCCACGTTGTTACAGTTCCTGACCTGGCAGCGACGAGGAACGGCTTGCAGATGTACTCGCTCTGGGATCTTCAAAACTACTATAACCAGTATCAGGATCAGTTCCGGGCGAAGGCAGCGGCACTGGAAGAGGACGCGAAGCCAGAGGATCAGACGCTGACCACCTTGCCAGGCGCGCATGATCGTTACGCTGAGGATACTGAAGCCGAGGCACCTAAAGCTCGAAACAATCGAACTGGCAAGCCTGAGCTTTTCTGCGAGAGCTGCAAGATCCAGCTGTCGAGCGACAAGGATGCCAAGCTGCACTATAAGGGACGAAAGCACAAAAACGTGCTGCGTCGACAAACTTCGGCTACTATCTCGAAATTTATTGCAAAAGCGCAACTGGAGCAGAACCCCGCAACAGGTGAAAGTGGAAAGATTGTGCCAGAAATCCGACAGCATGAAGGCGAGGACAAGCGCGATGCCAAGCGTGCGAAGCTAGAGAACACAACTGCAGTCGCAGACAATGGTGGAAATGTAGAGGCAGCATCGCCGACGGAGCCCTAAAATCCATCAGTTACTGACTTGAGTTGACTACTTGTGAATGCTTGTGTAACAACCACACTGTAGTGTAGGCAAATCAGTCCATCAACTAGAGATAGGACAGTGTTATGAGACCAGGTTGATGTTTTATGCCCGATGAATTCATTCGGAAATTTACTCGAGTGAGAGCAAGATGGTCAAGTTGTTCTGCACGATCACCGGGGTTACGAGGCCGTTCGCTGTGGAGATCGATGCGAATCTGTCGGTGGACGATCTGAAGAAGGCGATCAAAAAGGTGGTCAAGCCGAACGGGATAAGGAAGGTCGAAACCAACGGGCTGCGGCTCTTTTTGGCGAACTCTGGCTGTACGTGGCTAGATAGAAGAAGTTCCGCAACTGTGGCGGTTGATGAACTTGGGGGGTATGTACGCCATCGAGCAGATGGATCCCTTCCTGTCGCTCAATAACCCCAGATATTTCGGCGAGAATTTCACGCCGGGTAATGGTCACATTCACGTTCTGGTAGTGGTATCAGAGATACCAACCTCAACTGCCTTGGATGACCTGGAGAAATTTGCTCAGGAATGTGTTTTATTGGCAGAAGTAGTAAGGTTTTGCTAATTAATGCTTCACCAGACGCCGTGCGGTGAACTCGTCCTGGATCTCCTGCATCGTCTTACCCGACGTCTCTGGTACAACCGTGTACACGAAGAGGAACGACAATGCAACTGTGCACATGAAGGGTGTGAAGCTGAAGTTGACCAATGCAGCAGCGATATAGGGGTAACCCAGACCCACTGCGAGATTGCACAACCAGCTACAGCCCACACACACAGAGTTGCCCATTGCTCGAATGTCATCCGGGAAGAGATCCGCCATAACCACCCACGCTAGCGACCCAAGACTCGAACCGAACGTGGTGACGTAACAAGCAGTGAACACGATGGCAAGCGCTGGTGAACTAGCAACAAGCGACACTGTGATGCCCACTGCACTGATAAACATGCCCGTTAATCCATACAAGATGAGCTTACGGTTACCTAGTCGAGTGGCCAACATACCGCAGAACATGGTCGGTAGTACGTTGACAAAGTTGACGGCGACGATTCCAATACGATCGTCCGAGATGCCAGCCTGTTCAAAGAGAGTGGACGAGTAGAAGAAGACAACATTAATGCCCGTGAGTTGCTGAGCTCCAGCCACACCGATTGCTGTCAGTAGTTGCCGAATGAGCGTCGGTGAGAGTAGCTTGGCAAAACTGGAAGCTTCGGGAGCAGTAGTTGGTATGGTATGTTCACTTTCTTGAGGTGCAGGGTGGTCTTGCTTGATCCAAGTCTTAGCGAGATATACGTTCTCCTCGCCAAATAGACGCGCGAGCTCTCGCTCTGCTAACTGGTGCTCCCCCACCATGAGCAACCACGTAGGACTTTCAACCATAACGAAAGATGCGAGTACCAGGAACAATATTGCAAGTACAATAGGGAATCCTGCAATTAAACGCCAACCGCTGCTTGTATCGAAGAAGAAAAAGGTGATGGCAACCAGTAGATTGCCGACTGTAATGGCGATCTGGAAGCCCACTCCGAGGCTGTTACGAAGACTTGGCGGTGAGATTTCGCTGATAAAACCAGGGATAACAGCAGTGGCTCCTCCTGATGCAACACCGGAAATCACTCGACCACCGATGAACATCCGGATGTTGGAGGCGCTGGCTTGCACAACGGCCCCAGTTATCATGAAGAGGCAATTGGACATCATGATGCGTTTCCGACCAAACTTGTTGGAGAACCGTCCGATCACTAGAGCACCGATCATGCCGCCCAGGATCCAGGCACTGACCGCCATTGTCCACTGTGCTTTCGTGTGTCCCGGGAACATGAGGCAGGTGTGGGGTGCGACGGGTCTAGCATCGCACTCTTCTTGGTTGTTGAACGTTGTGAGGTTTAGTTGAGTGGTAGACCATCCGTACTGCAGTGGTTGCAGCAGTGACACCAGGACGTTGGCATAGAGCACCCAACGCGGTCGAATGGGAACGTGTACATCTGGTACAGTCGGCGTCGTGGCCAAGACTTTCGGTGTCGGCACCACTGGAATAAAGTCACTGATACTGCTCGACGATGGGGACGGAATCTCCATTGTGTCTTGGATCTATCCACTCGAAGACAAGACTTGTCGGATACGTGGTGAATTCAATTCTGATAGACCAGAGCATTCTGACAGAGTGCAGTTGACCCTTGCTGGTTGCTCGTGTCTATAGAGCTCTGCCGTTCTAGATCTGCATGAGCCCGCGACAAGCGCGGCATCAGGCAGCTGTGGTCACATCGAGAAGAGTAAAGCAGTTGCCATTGCCGCTCATAGGAACAGCGGAATTGATTATTGGAGACTCAAATCGTGATGCGACGGTAGTTCGAGAAGAAAACGAGGTGGAGTCCAAGCGACGGATACACAGCCGAAAGCTGACAGGCACGAGCGAGTCGCAAAAGAAAGGCGTGATAGTTAATGGAGAGGACGCGCCGAGCTCGGATCAACGTCGTTGCGCTCCCTGTTCCGGTGCTGTAGCAATCTGGTTGTAACCCTGCGAGAAATAATACTACTGCAGTAGTTTTTTTGTTTTTAAACCAAAGATGAGACCGGAGCATTGAACTCTCAGCAGCACTACTTGCACTAAAATAATACTAAAAACTGAATATACTGACATTTGTATGCGTCAAGTTGAAGTGTTGCGCCATGCAGTCTCCGAATCGAAATGGTCAACACATATGGCAAACGCTGGGCAAATGGTCATCTGGAAGTCTGCACCTTCGAACGAAGCCGATTCGCACGCCTCCTGCTTCTGCCGATGAAGTACTGCTTCGATACCTCCGATGGTCTTCTCTTTCC